ATATATATCAATAAATAAACAAAATATGTATTACTAATATTTTTATGGTGTAAGCACTAGAGCTAATTAACTCAAACGCGTTTGACCTTTTCAGCCCTTATATTGGGCAGAACATGGAAAATAACACATAATATAACTTTGTCATGGATTTTAGCTTGTCAGTGTGCATTGCCAATGCAATGCACACTATTGTGATTCGTTTCCCATCTAAGTTATCTCCACTTTGGCACGCTTCTTTTCCTGCATACTTTGTCCTAGAGCAGCCATTCTAATTTATATCTGTAAAGCTCCTGTGCCAAATGATGGCTATGCCTTTTGGTGCCTGTACAACTTATAGTTTTTGAAATATTAATGTTTAATAATTTATAATGGGAGTCAATACAGCCTTGTATTGGTCCAATACTGCCCCCTGCTGCATCTACTCAGTACTGAACCATAGTTTAATAATATTTGATCTCAATAGTTCAGTGGTTACAATACTAATATGATTGTATTTTTGATGTTTTACTATAATGTTGTCTTAATACTGCTCTATTGTTGTAATATTATGCAGTTTAGTGTCAATCATTGTATTGGCAATGTGGCCTCTTTCTGCACACATACAAACCAACCCCTGGCACCCTTGGCCACAGCTCCAATGGTCTAATCCTCAATGCCATGGACTTTCATGTGGGAGAACAGGATTCAAAACCCAGCTAAAGCAACGTTAACAGAAAATCTCTACAAACTTCATATTGTCACACAATTACCTTAATTACAAACACCTGCTGACTTGACAGGCACTAGCTGGTGTAGAAAACACATTTGTACTTGGTCACACTTCATTCTGCAAGTCCAATGCTGCAGGCAAAGCCTTGCTGCAATGACATGCTACATGGCAATGCACACTTGTTTTTACATCGTAAAAACCCAWGTCTAGTTAGCATTGACTCTTTACCATCATCAGAATGCATTGCATCAGTAACAAAAAGATAACATGGTTAGGTGAGAAATATAATACACATATGGATTTTAATTAGGTAATTAGATATTTTTCTTGTGTCACAAACAGTTTTTAGTAGAATAGAGAAATATCTAAGGCCAACATATGCAAGTCATCTGAGATGCCTTTAATATAAACACACGACATTTTCCTTATCAGCTGTCAGGTATATCTGGTGTGAATTAATGTGGATCAGGAGTCAAACGGTCTCAGTGGAGGTTAATCAGGACCTTCTAAAGAAGACAAGAGTTAATGATTCCATCAGTCCGTCCATCACTGAAGGACAAACAAGGACATCACAGCTGCTTTTTCAGCTAATGATCAGTTTTATTTAAATTTATTTCCAACCTTTAATCAGAATATTATTTGATCCYAAAACGGACCTCATCAGAGCTGTTTGTCTCGCCTCATACATTTAGATTATTCCTATTGTTTCCAATGAAAACATTCAGCTTCATGTCTAATTCCTGCACTTAGTTCAAACGAGGCAGGTGCATTTTTGTGTTTTAAAAGGTCCTGCAGAACAACTGACAGCTGCAGCGCCGCCACCTGTAATTGTTTTGATAAGAACAATTTGATCACTTTCCTGACTGGCACTGAGAACTATTATGTAAACAAGCTTTTCATCAAACCTGCGTGTTCATTTTGATAATTAGCTGTTTCGAGGCACGTTTGCTTTTAAGAACGTGGATCTGAACGTATTTGTCAGCTTTTAAAACAGCGTGACGTCTATTGTAGCGCCGAGGAAATGTCACACAACAACAAAATGGACAAACTCAAAACACTGTGTGTCAAAGGATGGAGGCAGGTGATGTGTTGATCCAGACCCCTGCTATACTTTGGAAAAAGAAACAAATCACTGCTCTGTCATCTTGTCATGAAATTCGACCCTCTCAATGTTTCCGTCAAATGAAAAAAAAACTGGATTTTCTGAAAAATGCAGGAAAAACGCAGAGTGAGCTAAACTGAGCTGTTAAAGCTACTAAAACATAAAGCTAAAGCTAAAATAAGCAAAACTGTAACTTCAAAAACAGATTGTTGATCTAAAACTAGCAAAACTGGTAGTTAGAAAAACATTCGCTAAGGCTAAAATTAGCAAACCAGATGTTAAAATTAACAAAGCATGCACTAAAATTAGCAAACCGATGGTAAAATTAGCAATTCAAATACTAAAATTAGCAAACCAGATGTTAAAATTAACAAAGCATGCACTAAAATTAGCAAACCGATGGTAAAATTAGCAATTCAAATACTAAAATTAGCAAACC